TACGTACTTGACTCTATGACTTTACATAGCGCTAAACTCTTGGCAAATGATGCTTTCGGGCCACGCGTCTTCTAGTTTGTTATGCAGAGCTGAGGCAGCTCGAAAAACTCGACACACCGGATGCTGTGGAAACGTTGCCCGTCGATGTGCTGGAGCCAGGTGTGGTACCACATCCACAGAGCACGGAAACAAAGAGCGCATGGGATGTCCCGAAGCCGCCAGAGTTGGCAGACATTCCAGCAGTTGACTCATCGGTGCAGGGTGCAGGGAGGAACTCCGTGAGGAGCCAGGTCGATTCACCCTTGGCTTTCAACAGATTGTCGACGCAGGGTGCAGGGAGGAACTCCGTGAGGAGCCAGGTCGATTCACCCTTGGCTTTCAACAGTTTGTCGACAGTGGCGAAAAACCGCCGGAAGCACATGTCTTGGATCCACAAGAACCAGCAGGCCGACCTACCCAGATCGGTAAAAGGTACCAGAAACACACAGCCTGTGTTCTCGCAGCTTCATGCGCAGTTCGCAACAGACAGAGTGCGCCAGCAAGCAATACAAGAGTTTGACAACACTCTTGTAGAAGGGACGACAGAAACTATTTGGACGCGCATGGTGCAGCATGGAATGTTTGAGCGGATATCCTTGCTCATGATCTACTTGAACGCATTGTGGCTGGCTATTGACATTGAATACAACGATGCAGACGTGGTTTGGCAAGCAGAGCCCCTCTTCATCGCAGTGGAAGTCGTGTTCGTGTTCTACTTCGTGGGAGAGGCTGTTGTCAGATACATGTCATATTCAGCATCTTGGAAAGCTGTCCGAGACCCCTGGTTCATTTTCGACATGTTACTGGTGGTGATGATGCTATTGGAAACATGGATTGTCCCCATGTTCTTGCTCGTGCTCCCGGAGAGTGCCCTAACTTGCACAAAGAGTACTGGTAGAAGACGGTCTTACTGCCACATCATGTCCTGTGACCATGTCAACAGGTGATGATTCTGGCGGAAGCTTGGGCAGGACGGTCTCCGTCCTGAGGGTGGCGCGCGTGCTGAGAGTATTGCGGACGGCGCGAATCGTGCGCGTAGCACGGCAACCGGGCAGGAATACAGTATGTCAGGCTTTCGGGCGTGCCTGCTGGTGGTTGTGCTCCGTTGGCTGTAAGCACTATTGGTCACATGGGGCCTGGTGTTCATGTAGACCAAGAGGGAAGGCATGAACATCTTCCAAGGTTCAAAATTCAACGAGGGAGGTCCTTCCCAGGAACATTGTGCGGGGGGATCCCACAAAGTTAAATCAATTCCGAGGCTGCAGGGCTTAGAAAATCCACGGATGTGTCTGGTGGAGTTAACTCCCCCCTGGATGTCGGCGGGTGCGGAAGGGCGCATCTTAGGCGAAGAGGCCCTGTGTGATGTGCATCGTTTTTTAGCCACGGATGTAGGGGCTCAGCTGTGGGACAAAATTCATCGAGGTGTTTGCCCTTCTTGTTAGATTCAGTGCTCGGCCTGCGTGTCGTCCACTCTGCACCCTGCATCCTTTGCCGGTTGCTGCGCAGACTGTTGAAGTTGAAGTCTTGAGAGCTTGCGAGGTCGATCGTTTCGAAGTTTGAGAACGTGCTGAGTTCGAAAGCTTGACGAACCACCGAATCCCGAGTCTGAGAGCTTGCAGGATTTCAATGTTCGAAATCTCGGAAGTGTGAACTCCGGAATGCTTGATCTGCCGTTCAGGGGTAGGCATATATGTATTATGATGCCTGTAGAGGATGAACTAAGTTGTTCGAATGCTCCCGCTCTCAAACTCAAATTTCCCAGCGTTCATCTTGTTTCATCATCTCCGAAATCGTGCTCCCCTCAGTTGCTGAAACTTTCAACATTTCGAAGTTGCAGCCTGTTTGATCTGCGGCCTTACACAACTTCTTAGTTCTCCAATACCAAGCCTTTAATATTTAAACCTTTTTGGTTTTTATAATTTAGTAGCAATCTGAAAAATTAACCTTCTATTTCCCGGCTTCTTGGGTAAGTAAGGCTCAAGCCGCAGAGCCGCCACATGGAGCCCCTCGGAACCCCCAAATCCGCCGCGGGGTCCCGACCTTCGCGGCTTCAATCCTAAAACCTGGCGGTCCGCGAAATCCGTGGCATTTTTGGTTTCGTGCCGCCTATCAAACTCGAAAGCTTTTGTTCTCCAGAGTACTCAAACAAACTCTCAAACTCCACTCATGGCCTCCGTGAGGTGTTGAAGCTTCGCGAAAACTGGAGTTCTGTTTGCATTCGTGGCACCTGTCTTGTCCCCAAACCCCCTGGTCAAAAACGAGCGTGCTCGCAATGAACTAGCTTCTATAGTGGTTTGCGCATTTGCTGCTACCCAGTGCCATATTGCGGCGGCTTACGTTGACGGTTGTTGCACAGAAATCTCAAGTTTCGCGAACAGACCCAAGTCTTGATCCATCTGCCCTTTACGGCTGAAGGATGCTCCCCGGATGGCAAGCTCTAGAACTAGTGCGAGTGCATTGCAGGCATGCTGCAATTCAATATCGAGTCAGGTACATGCCAGAGCTCCTGATCTTGATAAAAGGGCTCATGGTGGCAGCCCGTTCGGTGTTCTTTACATTGGTTTTGCTGCTCCTGATCACTTACGTCTTCAGCATAGCGTTTACGCGGCTCAGCGAGGCCTGGACCAAGGGTTGGATAGATTTTGTACTTTCATGAGATTGTTGATGGCATGACGTTGAGACATCCGTCAGGGCACCGGCTTGGAGGAGCATTTTCCATCTATGCCTTCAGCTCTGTTGACCCTCGTCGTAAAGAGTGTCATGCCGGACCGGGAGATCTTCTTCAGAGAAGTAGCGAGCCAGAGTTGGTTTATGGGGGCTTTGGTCCTTTGGCTGCAGAAAGCACATCGGCATTTTCCCGATAAAAGACAGTGCGCTGTGCAAACCACGTAGCGCAATGTTGCTTTCCTGGCCATAGCAGTCAGCAAAGCTCTGATTCTGCTGAAGGTGCTAATATTCATATTGATCGGATCCCTCATCGTCCTGAACATGCTGGTGGGAATTCTTGTAGAAGCCGTTCAGACTGTCGCTACGATGGAACACGAGCAAATCCGAGTGGACCTTGCAAAGAACGCTTCTTGGTTAGATGGCTTGATCTACGACCTACTCGTACCATGTCTGCAAGCTATGCTTGTCTTTGCTCAGGTGTTATGGCAGTTGATTGCCAAGACTTCGGCGGATCAAAACAAAGATAACAAGATCTCTGAAGAAGAGTTCTTGAAGCGCCTCGACCTGGATGTGACATGTTCGTGCCGTCCGTGCCCGTACACTCCGTACACTGGTTTGGTAGCTGCGCTGTCATCTCGCCCAGGCTGATTGAACGAGACGATGCGAGTGAGGCCTTATTGATGCTCGGCGTGGACATGTACGCTGCAAAGGAGTACAGCAAGTCACTCGGAAGATCTTGGAAGCGATGGGCTGCATTGCGGTGTAGCATCCACTACAGAAGCCGTTTCAGTTTCAGGGCCCCGGTAGAGTAAGAGAGCCCAGACAAGCATCCGAGCAACGTTGGTTCCAGACATTCGACATTTGTGTACTTGGCCTTTGTCACTGTCCAAACCCGCCTGTTTGCTCTGCGCTCGAAAGTCCTTCCACGAGTTGCGATCAAGGTTCAATGAGTCATGTCCCTCCCTTCAGATCCGACCTCACTCGCTCCGACCTTTGGGCTGCAGATCTGTTAGGCAGGTGGCGTACTCTGTCGACATCGTTGCATGCTTCCTCTACAAGTTCTGTTGGCTTTGATTTTCAGCCGTCGCTCCTGTGCATTTGTTGGGGCAGCGCCCTAGAGGCCCCAACATCATGTTGGACAGATGGCCCTGTCTGCTTTCGCGTTTGTTGCCTGGAGGAAAACGAAGGCTGGAGGTTGAATTGAAAGTTTCTGCGGATTTGGGAATCCGTTTGGTGCTTCTTCGTGGCTTAGCACTCCGTGCCCGGCGCAGCGAAAGTCATGCCTTCGGATGGGTTGTTCAGGCCGCTTTCAGTTGGCTTGCATCAGCTCGCAGCTCGGCTTTCGGTGCTGCACTTCAGTCACCTTTGGGGAGGGGGAGAAGGGGGTGGAGGGGCGCTTGTCGAGAGCAGTGTGGAATGGAAGAGAAAGAGGCCTGCACCGCCGCTGCTGCTCTCACGAACGATTTCGGATATTCATGGCAGGAGCAGGTTCAAGGCAGATAGTCATATCAGATAGTGAGCCTTCTTGACAGCAGTGACGAACAGCCAGAACCATCTCATTCCGTTTTGCTTGAAGGTTGCTTTTTGAGGATGGTGAGCCCTTGACCTTTGGGGAGTTTATGGATGCCATGCTCACACTCCGGGGGTCCAACCAGACCACCGTCAAGGACATTGTTAACCTGCGGAAGTTCACAGCAGACGAGTTTTCGCAACTCCATGCGGTTCTGCTGGATGTGTGCCGGTTTCTGGCAGGCTCCTTGGCTTCAGGACTTGGCAATGCTACGACTACGAGACTAACACGGTTCCACATAACAGAAGGATGTGTTTCGAAGTGGAAGATGCCGAACATATACATTGTGGCAACACACAAAGGGGCATGCTTGATCTCTAGGCATGTCGAGACGTAGGCGACAGGCAGATGTCAGAGTTGAGCACCTCTCAAACGGTTCGTGTTTGCAGCATCTGCAAGTAGTGTGGCTGGTGCAAGTTCCAAGTTGTGCACAGTCTTCAGGATACATGGAGTGTCAACGTCCAATTTAGTTCGTTCTACATCCACCGACGATATTCGATGCTAAAGGCGCTGCTACATGCACGATATTGAGACTACACCATGTGTGGACGTATCGGCTCGGATGATGTTCGGCCGGTTTGTTCATCGTTGCGTTGATTTGTTGCTGCTTGGAGTCGTGTGAGAGCACATGTCCCCGCAGCGACTGAGGCCAGGGCATGTCCGAGAAGCTGGCTCAGGATTTATCTCATGAAATGGCCTCCCTGCAAAAGGAATGACTCGTTCGCAAGTTTAAGTGATGGAAGGTCGTCTACAGTCGTAGGACCTGACAAATCAGCGCTTCAATTGAGCTAATGCGACGATCGAGCGCTGTCTACGACGAAAACTGTCACAATATGTGACGCCTGATCAGTGCCCGCTGTTGAAACTGTATCTGTCACACCTACCTTGCCGCATGACAGAAGAAATTTGCTTGCATGGCTTACCGCCTCAAACCGCAAAGAACGTCATCCTCCGGTTTGCCTTCCAAGACAACACGAGTCCTAGTCGTTTCAGCGCGCAACACAGTCGATGCCAAGCCCGGATGCATGCAGATGCAAAGCACCTAGCGATGCCTTTCTTTACTTTCTTTCGGCTGCTTCGGCTACTTTACTCCGTATTTCGTCATTGTCCTTGCCTCGAAGAGGCACAGGACACATCTGCATGCGCAAGCGAGCGGGCAGGTGTAATGGCTCTAGCGCCGAATGCACCCTGAAGTAAAGTGGAAACCAGCATCATTCCAGTAGCCTTTTACACTTGTTCACTCTAGTCTCAATTGTGGACAAACTAACGCTACCTTAGTTGACATGTTGAGACTGCATTCCGGGGCTGAGCTTGCCAGCAACCTACAGCTGTTTCACCAAGGTCCGATGTGCAGCAGGATCTGCGTTCGCAAGTAGGGGCTTGTCAGGGGAGTGTTGTTGCCTTTGTTGCACTTGACTTCTGAACCGCATCGACCCTAGCTGCATGCAGCGTGCGTGGTGCTGCAACTCAGTGGAGCTGAATTCGCAAGCAAAAGAAGAAGCGTAAATTGAGCTCGACTCGGTGTTTCGTGTTCCTAAAGCGTCACCGCAAGCGATTGGACGAACGGCTTTCGGTACTAGTAGGTGTTCCAGCTGCACGGAGACACCGTTTGAGTTAAACTAAGGTTCGTCGCTTTTTCCGAGAGCATGTGAAACCCGGTCCCTGTCACCATGGAAGATCTCGGAGGATAGTTCGATCATTGCAGCAGGCTGCCGTGGAGCTGCGTGCGGGATCAGTTGTGGCAGAGCGCACGGAGGTGCATGATTCAATGCGGTTCAGTGCATCCCTTTGCCAGCTGCTACTTTTGCCTTGCCCGTCCTCGAGCAAAGAAGGCGATGGTAGTTCAGGCGCAAACACCACAGAAAACAAGACCAAGAGCTGCCGGCAGGTACTGGTAGGAACTTTTCTCAAGCGCCGCGTCCTAAACGTTGCAAACGTTCGCAACGCATCCCGCTGTTCCGCCATGCCGTGGCCGCGGAAGTCCAGTGAGAGCCTGAAGGCGGCTGCCAGCAGCCTGGCAGCTATTCGCCAAGAGCTCTTCCTTAGCCACCAGCAGCTTGTTCAGAAGTTGGACGCAGAGTTGGTGCGCATCCAGAACTTGTGCTCGACTTCTGCAGACTCTTTGGGGCCAGCGGAGTTCGCGGCTTTATCGGAATCCGGCTCCCGTGGGTCGAAAGGGGATGGACCTGCTCCTGTCTCTGCGGTCATGCAGCTCCCCGGAATGCCCGAGGAGAGCGATGGTCAGCAGGACAAGGAGCAGAAGGAACCGGCTGGCGATGTCAACGAGCCAGTAGGGCCAGTAGCTTCCGCCTCCCTTGCAACTTTCACGACAATCGCCGAACAACGGAAGAAGCACATGGCCTGGATTCGAAAAGTGGAGGATGGCAAAGTGCCGAGAGGGTCTAAGATTGATGCGGACGATGAGGAAGAGAGCCGCGTTTTCTCTCGGCTCAACCCAGAATTTGCAGCACAAAAAGTCCGCAAAGATGCTATTTCCAAGTTTGGTTCGAACTTGCCGGGTGAGACTTCCTCCTACACGAACTGTTGTACACGAATTGTTCAGCATTCATGCTTTGAGCGGCTGTCCATGATGGTGATTGGCATGAATGCCTTGTGGATTGCTATTGACATTGAGATCAACCAAGCCGAAACACTCCTACAAGCAGGCGTTGGGACGATCTTGGCGGAAGCGGCGTTCTTCCTCTACTTCACGGCTGAGTTGTTCATCCGGTTTTGGGCGCAGCAGCACGCCAGGAACCTGCTCAAAGACTACTGGTTCCTTTTTGATGCGGGGCTTGTGATGCTCATGCTGCTAGAGACATGGCTCGTACCTGCAATCATTTTGATGGTCGGAGCTGGAGAAGCTGGTGGCCTCGGGCGTGCCGCAAGCGTTCTGCGGGTTGTCCGTTTGCTTCGTGTCCTTCGCACAGCACGGATAGCAAGGATTGCACGCTACATGCCAGAGCTTATGATTTTGATCAAAGGGCTCATCGTGGCAGCGCGATCGGTGTTCTTCACCTTGGTTTTGTTGCTGTTGATGACCTACGTGTTCAGCATTGCTCTCGTGTCACTAAGTCAGGGCCCAGACTTACATCAAGTACAAGTCCTGTTTCCGTCGGTGCCCAGGGCCGTGTTGAGGCTTTTGGTGCAGTGCACCATGCCAGATTCGGAAGCTTTCTTTCAGAGCCTGGAAGACGAAAGCATTCTCATGGCGGCATTGTTCTTGGTGTTCATCTTGGCCGGGTCCCTCATTGTCCTCAACATGTTGGTGGGCATTCTGGTCGAGGCTGTGCAAACGGTCGCGACCATGGAGCATGAGCAGATCCATGTGGACTTTGCGCAACGGGCTCCTCGGCACCGGCTTGTTTCCATGTTCGAGCATGGCAGAAGTTTGCGTCGAATAAGGTGCTCCACAATCTCATCCAACAGGGTAATGCTGATGAAGACGGTGACAACTTGATTTCTGAAGGCGAGTTCGAAAGGCAAGGCAGATGAGTTTTCCAGATTCATGTTTTGTGGCAGCTGCCCTACATAGCCCTTCCCGTGCCCTTAGCCTATAGCTTTTGGATGCTGAGATTCAGCCGCGATTTGGTGGTTTCCGCGAAGTCTGCAGGCTCTTGGAGAGGCCAGAGGCTTTCTCGGCTCTGACTCGGCTGGGGGTCGATATCTTCGCGGCACGCGAGTACGGAAAGCCGCTCGGGCACTAGTAACCTCACGAAGCAACAGCACTGGGAGTTCCAGTCCTCGCTTCCCTGGACCCAGGCTGCTGTTCGAGGACGGTGTGCCTCTGACCTTCCCGGAGTTCATGGAATCCATTCTGACCCTTCGTGGTTCCTTGATAAGCAGCCTTATACAAGTTGAGGCAGAACCATATGGGTACATGCATTTGGCCTGACCGCCTGGTTTCCTGGCGAGGCTCAAATCAGACCACCGTGAAGGATATCGTCAACTTGCGCAAGTTTGTGGCCCAAGAGTTCTCCAACTTGCACACCATTCTGATGGATTTCTTTCACTTGGTGGGCGGTCTCTCCGACCAAGTTCATCTAGGAGTTGCTCGCTTCAATGCAGCTTGTGCAGCTTGCTCCCCAGCTCAGGCTCACCCGTGAGCACATCGAGGACATCGATGTTAGAGCTTCCAGGCCAAACTCGGCAATGACGCACCCCGTCCAGCATTTGCTGCAAAATTAAAGCAACACAAAGCGTAAGGACTTCTGGGATCCATGTGCACTCAGGCCTGGAGAGCGGGCATACTTGGATGCTGTTCGACATACTGGCGCTTGAGGCATGGAGCTGCAGTTCATGCTGCTGAGCCATCAAGGTATCCAAACAGTATGGCAGTTGTCCCTAGACCTAGTAAGTTGCAGGACCTAATCAGAGAGGACTTCTGTGATTGCGAAGTGCGCCGTTGTGTCTCACCGCTGGCTCAGGGCTGTTTGCCCCTCGTAGGTGCATGCCACCAAGAATCATGCTTACGCATCTGCCGCTGGCTATTTTCGGTGATTGAGTATGTGTAGACGAACTCGTATTAAGATCTAAGGTACTGTTACTGGTAGGTAGAGTGGCCTTTAGTTTGGGAACAAGCCGTGGTGGCGCGGCTTGAAGTGTCGTATTTTAAGTCTTCATGGCGTCACCATGAGGCCACAAATTCCGCGGCAGTAGGGTGCCAAGTGTTGCTCTGCTTGCCAGAAGAATACATTCATGTGTTCAATGGACAGACAGGCCCATCTCCAAGGATGTGCTCAGTCTGTGCATGAAATTGTTTCACCAGCGGTGCTCAAGCATCCTATTTTTTCAGTCTAAGGACTCTGACTCATAAACTAGTTGCTTGCTGAAGGAAGCCAATGGTGCGGGTGACAGGAGACCAGTCAGGAGAACAGGGCGAAAACAGTTAAGGCTAAGTCATGTAACTAAATTCTCGAATTCTCGTGTGCATGGCTCCTGATGCGGCAACTTCGAAATGCGAAACACTTGCCGAGTTCTTGTACATGGTGGCATCAAGCAGGGCCGAGAGCATCAGGACGGGAGTTGTTGCGTCGCGAGGAGACGCGCATGCTCCGGCTTTTGTGCTGTGCGATGCATGAGATTGTTTGCTTACTTGACTTGGAGTCGCATGCAGCAGCATGTCTGGCTAACAGCAGGACTTGTGCAAATGTAGTGTCCAAGACCCACGCAGAAAGTACCTCAGAAACACGTTGGATCACTAGATCGTGCTGTCACAGCGCATTCAGCTGTTGTTCTTTGGCTGTGCGTTCGAGTTGGCGGGTGCTGCCGGAACATGCCGCTGAGTCCCAAGTCACATGAAACGAAGACTGTGTTGGATGCTTTGGGCAGCTTCAGAGCAGATCTAGCGGCAAGTCAGAAGCAGGTACTCCGTAAGTTGGACGACGAGTTGCACAGGATCAAGACTGCTCCATTTGCGAGTCCAGCTGCACCATTTATTCCCTCAGACCTTTTGGCTACCGACATCGAGGAACCCAGTTTGACGATTCCGACAACTGTCCAGGCGGGCTTGTCAAGTCCAGCTCCTGCTTGGGGAAGTGAGAAAGCAGAGACAAACCCTGAAAAAGTCCTTCCCGGTATGGTCGGGCTTGAGAGAGTGGACAGCGCTCCCATCCACACTTTTGCAAGCTTGCCCAACGTTGCCCAAGAGCGAAAGAAGAACCTGCCCTGGATACACAAGCATGAGTCAAGAGGCTCAAGAAAAATTTCGACTTCGGAGGACCCCGACGAAGGACGCGTGTTTTCCCATCTCAATGCCGCGCATGCCACGGATCTTGTTAGGAAGGCCGCCATTGAAACTTTCGAATCGCCCAAAACCAGATCCAATGGTTCATCCTGTTCGGAGCGAATCAACCGACATCCCTTTTTCGAGCGACTGTCCTTATTCATGATTTACCTCAATGCGGTGTGGATTGCGGTGGACATAGAGTTCAATGATTCAGCTGTGGTGTTTGAAGCAGCTCCTATCTTCGTTGTGGTGGAAGTTGTCTTTCTCATTTTCTTCAGCAGTGAAGCCATGATTCGTTTCATGAGCCACATCAGTTGCAAGCATGCTCTCAGAGACTCTTGGTTGCTGTTCGACTTCCTGCTGGTGATTTTCATGGTGCTCGAGACGTGGCTCGTTCCTGCTATCGCACTCCTGCTCGAGGGTACCGGCGGAGGATCATCGGCAGTGGGTCGAAGTGCTACAGTTCTTCGCGTCGCCCGTATTCTTCGAGTGCTGCGGACTGCAAGGATTGTGAGAGTAGCCCGTTATATGCCCGAGCTGATGATACTGGTCAAAGGTCTTCTGGTTGCAGCACGGTCCGTCTTCTTTACAATGGTTTTGTTGCTCCTGATCACCTACGTGTTCAGCATCGCTTTTATGCAGCTCAGCCTTGCTGACGAGCAATCGCAACTGCAGGAGTTCTTTCCGACCATGCCGCAATCCGTTCTAACCCTTATTGTCTACTGCATCATGCCGGACCAAAAGGAATTCTTCGATAGAGTGTCAGGAAGCAATGGGGAGAACTGGTTCATGGGTGCCTTAGTCATTGTTTATGTTCTGGTCGGCTCCTTGATCGTGATGAACATGCTGGTTGGAATATTGGTGGAAGCGGTGCAAACAGTCGCGACTATGGAGCACGAGCAGATCCATGTGGATTTCGCGAAGAAGGCATCTTGGACGAGCACATGGCCACAGCCTAAAGTCCTCACAGCCATTTCCGCTTCTGCAAAAGCTCCAAAGGAAAAGGTCATTTTTCACATGTACATTCCTCGTGTTGCTCGGCGGTACCATTCACCCCTCTCGAACACGAAAGCACAAGAAGTCATTGAGACATGGCTCATGTGTGGGAGCCATATGTACCATTTGCTGCGCCGGTGCACAGATATGTGACCTTCCTGCGGGATGGCATGCCGGTTGTCTTGCGGGTCCTGGCATCATCCAGCATCCAGCTACACAGTAGTATTGTAGTATTGCTGATACTAGTACTAGTAGTAGTAGTAGTAGTAGTAGTAGTACTAGTAGTACTACTAGTAGTAGTACTAGTAGTACTAGTAGTAGTACTAGTAGTAGTAGTAGTAGTATTAGTAGTAGTAGGAGTAGTAGGAGGAGTAGGAGTAGGAGTAGGAGTAGGAGTAGGAGTAGGAGTAGGAGTAGTAGGAGTAGGAGTAGTAGTAGCAGAAGCAGTAGCAGTAGCAGGAATAGTAGCAGCAGTAATAGTAGTAGCAGTAGCAGTAGCAGTAGCAGTAGCAGTAGCAGTAGCAGTAGTAGTAGTAGTAGTAGTACTAGTACTAGTAGTAGTAGTAGTAGTAGGAGGCGTGCGCCCCCCCCGTCCCACCAACGACACTTGCTCTTAAACCATCTTAAGATGACATCCATTTACTCGTTATTTGCGGTACTTTCGTAGTATCCTGCTACTTCTTGTTGTCTCAAACTCCACTTGTCGGTTTTGCAAACTCGAGCTTCGGATTTTGGAAGGGTTCGGGGGGGGTAGGGGGTGGGGGGTGATGGTAATGACGACACGCTTGCGCACGTGCATTCTACTCGGTATTTACAGCACTTTCGTAATGTCCTACCACTTGCTTGTTGCCTCACATCAATTTGGCGACTTTGCCAGCTTTAGTGCTTGTGATGATGAAAATGATGGTTTCAGCCGGCAGGTCGTTNNGGTAGTGGTAGTGGTAGTAGCAGTAACAGTAGTAGTAGTAGTAGTAGCAGCAGCAGCAGCAGTAGAAGTAGTAGTCGTCGTCGTAGAAGTAGTCGTGGTGGTAGTGGCAGTGGTACTGTAGTAGTAGTCGTCCTTGTAGTCGTAGGGTAGGGGCAGGGGCAGTGGCAGTGGTAGTGGTAGTGGTAGTGGGAGGTGGTGGTAGTAGTAGTAGTAGTAGTAGTTGTTGTTGTTGTTGCCTACTGTTGGTCAAAACTTCATGCCTCCCCGGAGGCCTATAGGACTCACTGTCGTCCAAGACAGTCGCGGTGTTTGCCAGATTGTACAAGATTTTTGTTCATCGTCTGGTCGTCATGCTTCCCACCCTTCGTATTCGGCTTCGAACGCACTTCACGGTCGAACGCAACTCGAGCCCCTGCGCAGAAGCTCTTAGGGTTGACAGCATGAATCCAACCATATCGCGAACTGACCGGTAGCACTTGCACAAAGGTCCTGTGGGAGATGATGACGGAAGGCAATGCAGATCAGGATGGGGACAACCGAATCTCTGAGGACGAGTTCGTGAGGCCAGGGGTTTATCGAGTGGCAAGAGATGGGATTTGAGTTTCATGGAACTGCTGTTGATGCGTCATAGGCTCCTGGAGCGGCCGGAAGCTTCTGTGGCACTGATGCGCTTGGGTGTCGACACATATGCAGCAATGGAGTATGGACAGCCCCTCGCTTTTTTGCAGTCTGGGTGCTGAGGCCATCCTAGTCATGAGTTGCTCCTTTTCCCGGGCTTTCTCTTGCAATACTCGTGATTAGCAGACCATCGTCAAGGAGCCCCATGAGCCCAAGGACGTCTCAGCCTTCAAGTCCACACGCAACAGTTTTTAGGCCACGGGAAGATACAATGAGTAGTGGGTCATTACTGCCGTTTATTTTTGTATGAACTTTGTGCGCTGAGGCTGCTTTTTGAGGACGGCCAACCATTAACTTTCGGAGAGTTCATGGATGCGATTCTGACTCTGCGTGGCTCCTCGAAGCTGTTAGTGTGCTATGGCAGTGTCAGTCGTTGTTGTAGCGCTGCTTCCATGTGGCTGTTCGGCGCTGTCTCGTTCGGCCACGATTGGATACTCTGTCGAGCAGCTTTGGAAGGAAAGTCCTGCAAGTCTCTAGTGTTTCGAAAAAATGTGCCACATGGGCTTTGCCTGGATTCGTGCATATCCGCACACGTTTTGCCCGAACAGTGCTTTGATTGGTGTGCTTGCTCCGTCACATCCGTGTTCAGGCTCCAATCAGACCACTGTGAAAGACGTCGTAAACCTGCGAAAGTTCACGGCCGATGAGTTCTCGACCCTGCATGCGGTTCTCAACGACCTTTGCCATTTCTTAGCAGGCAACACGCAACTAACGTAGTTGTGAGGAGCCGGACATTGCAGCAGTTTTGTTCCACGCAGCGGTGAGAATTCTTTGATTTGGCCCTGTCAGGTCGTGGTATGACAACAGGCTTTGCACGACGGTTGTCCACTCACTCAAGGTCGAGGGTGCGTCACTTTGATGAATGTTAAGCGAGTACAAGCAAGCCAGCCGCGAATTTGTTACATGTCTCCCTTGTTGATCCGGCTGATCTGTCCCATCTGGGACATGGAC